TGTCCCCCTCGAAACCATACAACTTTTGTCTGAAACATTTTTTCATATCTCTTTTAGTTTTTTAAAAAATCGACTGTATAAATTAAAATGGCCCACCCTGTATATTGATATTTAATCATAATTACATTTTTTTAATGCTAAAACTATGTAATGGTAGATTTCGCGACAATGTCGTCGAAGTTGCCTTTATACGGCGGTATCTTTCACGACGGTGGTGAAAACTACCACACGAGTCGTGAAAACTGCCAGGTTACATATGAAAAGGCAGTCAAAACTGCCATTGGACATATATATACACATATATCTATATCTATATATATAAGCACCCGGTGTCTGTCTGTCTGACCGCGAAATCCTCACGCATTTGTGGGCCGATCTTCGTGCAACCTGGCTCCAAATTTTCTAAATTTTTCGGGGATTGTTAATATGGGGTTTTTTTATCACTTTTTTTGGTCGGACTGCGCATGCGCAAATGATTCTTTGCGCACGCGGACTGCGAATGCGTAAATGATTTTCCATTATATGTATAAGCACCGGGTGTGAGTCTGTCTGTCTGACCGCGAACTGATCCTACATTTGTGGACAAATCTTCCTACGGTAATTCTGCTCAAAATTTTCGAAATTTTCATGGATCGTAACGAAGGGATTTTTTCAAGTTTTCCCCAACGCATTCACAGGGTTTTATTTTGTTTCACCGGGAACTCCTGCATTTGTGGACCGATCTTCTCGCGACCGGTCCTAAAATTTTTAGGGGGAGGCTGCTAAAGGGGGTTTTTTTATCCAGGCAATTTGAAAAATAAAATGCTTTTATAAACGCAATAAAAAGGTATGTTTTGGTTAAGGAATCGGAAACGAAAAGATTTGGATTAACGAAATTTAAATAATACAAATAGTAGTATAATATGGCTCTAGGCGAAGGTCTACGTTAAAAAAACCTAACGCGCCAACAAGTGGAACCTCTATGGTGGTGCGGAAGACCACTATTATATGATTGTAAACAGGCACGGTGTTTGGGAAATTTCCTCCCTTTCGAATCTCGTCATGAGATCGAAAGATCGCGAAATATCTCCGTGAGCGCGGCGAGTGGATCGGGGGGTGAGAAAGGACGTGCACCGTGGCGAGAATGACTACGTTTCGGTTGTTAAAATGAGTCGAACTTTAATCGTATTTACACTATGTACAATTGAGAGTTACGGAGGCGTATAATTGCGCTGAGCGAGTCCGTCGAGCTCTCTTGTTCGCACAAGACCGTCGGGGATGTGCCGCCCGTTGAGCCGGTGGCCGGCTACAAGCGAGCGTGCACTCACAGAATGAGAGGCCTTTGCGCAGAACACCGATGCACTCGATTTTAGCACTGAACGAAAGAGTCTGTCCCGGGTGAGCACTAATTGTCAATGTGAGATGGCACTGAGATAGCACTTGAGCGCGAGCACGATAATTCAGTCAGCCGATGCGAGCTTTTACCACAGCTTATTACGGCTGCTTTCACACGACGACTGAGCTCTGTGAGCTTGCGCGCAAGCCCGCGAGCCATGTTCACGGGCCCGACACGTGCTCGTTACCCGGTCGCGCGGTCGCGCGCGCGGTACCACTGGGCCTCGCGAATAACCGTGAGATGGCGAGGGCAGTTCAATTGAGATAACTGGGGGAATCTCAAACATTTCCGCCCGCCATCAGCAATGAGGTTGATGATGAGTCCACTCCTACGGATGTTGAGCTTGGCCTTGATGAGCAATGGGCAGCGGTGCCAGCTTGGTGATTGGTCTGGTGAGTGTCGTCGTGGGTGTCTTCAGGGTCACCACGCGGGTGAGTCCATCCTTGGCTGGCATCAGGGTGGAGACTCTGGCTAATGGCCACTTACATGGCGGGAGCCTCTCGTCGGTGATGAGAACCAATGTGCCCACTTGTATGTCGTTGGATAGGTGATGCCACTTCGAGATTGCTTGTTGTCGTTGCAGATATTGAGCTGACCATTGAGACCAAAATTGCTGTACTCGCTGTTGTATGAATTGCCATCGGGATAACCTTGCGGTTGCTAAGTCCTTCAGTGATGGCTCCGGTACTGATGTGAGAGCACTTCCGATGAGAAAATGTCCTGGGGTGAGCGCTGAGATGTCATCTGAGTCGTCGCTGAGTGGTTCGAGAGGTCGTGAGTTCAAGATCGCTTCAATCTGAGCAAGCAGGGTTGTCGTTTCTTCGAATGTGAGCAACGTCTCTCCTATGGTACGACGCAAGTGGTGTTTGAGTGATTTTACCACTGCTTCCCATTTGCCACCCATGTGTGGAGCAGCTGGTGGATTGAAAATCCATTGAGTGCGATCTTGAGCAAGCAGAGATGAGATGCGCCGGTTGTCTTGCGAACTCTCTGTGAACAATGTCTGGAGTGATTTCTCTGCTCCGACAAAGTTTGTGCCACAGTCAGAGTACAATGAATGAGGGATGCCTCTTCTTGAGACAAATCTTCTGTACGTTGAGATGAATCCGTCCGTTGAGTAGTCTGAAACAACTTCTAAATGAACTGCAGATGTGGTGAGACAGACAAACACACAAATCCAGCCCTTGTGAGTTTTGGCTCCTCTTCCCTTCCATGTTTTGAGTGTGAGTGGTCCAGCGTAATCGATGCCCGTATGCGTGAATGCACGTGAGGGTGTGACCCGAGGCAGAGGTAGTTGGCCCATCAGTTGATGGGCACGAATCCCCCTTTGTCGAGCACACACCACACACCGCAAGATATGAGATTTTACTGGAGCACGTCCACCGATGATCCAATAGGATTGCCTGATATGCGCCAAGGTGAGTTGCGTTCCTCCATGTAGTGTCCGTTGGTGGGACCAGCTAATGATTAATTCAGACAATCTCGAATGGCGAGGGAGTATTGCAGGGTGTTTGCCTTCATAATTGAGGGTGGAATTCTTGAGTCGTCCTCCCACACGAGCAACTCCTTGCTGATCAATAAATGCTGTGAGACGACTGAATGGATGAGAAGTTGCTAGACGTGATTGTGAGCTGAGCATCTTCAGCTCATGTGCAAAAAAGGTTGATTGTGTAACCTTGATCCAGAAGATCTTAGCTTGCTCTAAATCAGCGACTGAGATGTGTGAGGCTTGCGGGCCATCGTGTTGATTTCTCAATCGTCGAATAAATACCTGACAGAGAGCTGTGATTCTGAGCAGTCGATTGAGCGATGAATACTTGTAGATGAGATCCCAGTCGTAATCCACCTTTATGTTAGTTGTGAAGAGTGACACTCCTGGGCGCGATTCTGTTGTACACTGCTCGTCCGAGCACGTTGGCTGAGCGGGCCAGCGATCTTTCGGTTGAGCCAACCATGGTGGTCCTGCCCACCACAAGGTA